AAAAAAAGATAAATTCAAAGTATTCAAAACACAAAATATGATCTATTACATTTCTTAGAAAACTAATGCACAAATTTGTGATTTATATATCACCTTGCACATAACTTGTGAAAATTTTAAAGAGATGTGACATAGTTTGAAACGCAAGGAGCATTTTATGTAACAATGAAAAGAGAAAATTTACGATCTAAGAAAAGTGTATTTCAAATATTTATTTGAGTAAAATAAAATTTAAAAAAAATCAGCAATTTATCAAAATGACAAAATTATTTGACAGAATTATTCTATGAAGTATATAAGGAATATTATTAGTATAAAAATTTAAATTCACAATTTTGATCAAAATTTGACATTGGGACGGTTCACCATTCCCTTAAGAACAATGCATTAAATTTTTAGCGAGAAATAATATCAATCAAGCAATCACATATGTCAATTTTGCTATCGATGTTGTGCTGGCACGATTTGCAAGATAACTTCTTTTTTTTTTCTTTTTGTAATTGTATAACGGTTAGTGATAACAAATAACAGTGAAGTAGCAACCATTTTATAGGTGAATCTAACCATCATGTTCTTCAAGCGAAAAATATCTAAAGAATATATGTTTCAAGATGATCGGATCTTGATTGTTTCGTAGAAAAAAAATAAACATGAATCAACAACTTGTTTGGTTTGTCGTGAAAATGCTATATTTAAAAATTTATTTTGCTAGTCACTCTACCACTAAGAACAAATCTTTCAATGACTCTTTTTTCTTGAGGATCTCTCAAGATGTGATATGGCTTTCATAAAAAAAATATTTGCAACAGCATCGAAAAAAAATGGGGGGGGGGGGGGGCCAATCATTGATGAAAGGAAATCGAATAACTCAAAACTGGACACAAAAAATGTATAAAACCTATTTTTTGTGAGTTGAGTTTAATATGGTCTACATCAGCGTTTCTCAAACTGGGGGCGACTACTCTGCTAGGGGGGCGCGAGCATATCGAAAACAAAAGATTTAAAAAATAATTAATTTACTCTGGAATCATAATTAAAACAAAATACTTTCAGACACAGTAAAAATGGCACTTTTACTCTGATATAATTTACAATATCATCTAGCGCGTCATCTCTCTCTCTCAAAAATAAAAACTTCTTCAGTACCTAATTAGCTATCTTTGTGATCCTATAACCACATAATAAAAACTTTCATTTGATTTGCTGTAATCCTATGATGAGAGATTTTTGAAGTTATACTTCTTTTGGGGCGTTAAAGAAATAGGATGAGGGTAAATTTTTACAATGCGCGCGCACACCGTCACGGATGCGAAAATCCTTTGTCTAGAAATATACAAAACGGGACAAATCATTCCCGCCTTCGAAATTCTCAGAAAAATATTTCTCTTCACTTCCCTGAAGAAGAGGACACCCGGGTTTGAACCGGAGGCCTCTCGATCTGCAGCCGAATGCTTTACCACTGAGTTATACACCCACGTCAGCGAACCTTTGCTTTGTGTTCCGTAGGAACGTATACCAGTGCTTCTCAAACTTTCAGTACTGGCGACCCAATTTTCAATCATAATTTTTCTCGCCCTCCCCCCTTATACAATAATAATGTATTGAATGCAATACTATATAATACACTTTGACTCTAAAACTACAATACGATCTTAATTATATAAACCGTACATCTTCACAAGATAAGTGCTAAATTTTGTATATGTTACTTTTAAGTAATATATATTTTAAGTAAATTATACTTTTAAGTAATAGGGGATAGAGTTATTATATGCTATTTTCCTTTCTCTAATTTTTAAATTAGAACAGATTGCAAAATGATTTTTAATTAAAGATTTATTCCCTTCATTGTCCATTTCTATAGGTACAAATATCATTAGAAAAATAGTCGACTATGTTGCTCTCTATCATATTCATCACATCTGGCAAAAATTCTCTAGCCGAGTGGTATAGGTATCGGACCGTGGCTTGCCTTGTTTCACGAGTTTGAGTCCAGTACCACTAAAGACCCGCCGTGTAGGGCAGCGATTCACGTTAAATCTGTCAAGAGCTGAAACGTCCTCCTGTTGGTGTGGTGTGGTAGTTAGGAGAGGGGGGTGCCAGCTCAGGTGTCGTCCACGTCACTTGACCATGGTTCAAAATTACGTGGTCCTTCGCCAAAAGAACTCGTGCAGCTGAACAATGCGACGTTAATATTCAATCAATCAATCTGGCAAAAATTCTGGCGCACGTTTGCGTGAGTCTGGCCAACCTATCGGACGTCTGCGCAAAACATGTAAAACAACTGTACCTGGTACAATTGCATTCAGTTTTGGTCGAGTTAATACTTCTATGGCTACCGAATCTGTCTTGAATGTACATTTTGTAATTTACGCGTTAGCTGTAAATCACGGTATTAAGTATTTACGGCAGTAGATTAAAACAAAATCACACATAGATATATTTTTAAGTCGTGGAGAACATTCGATAATAATAAAGTATCAACAAGTACACAGAAGAGGATGGTTCCGAAAATTAAATCAAGGATATATTCTAATGAATACTTAAATTTTTTGGATTTACTATTACTATTACTGAAAAATCCTGGGTAAAACTTACATGTGTACTTACTATGTGTTAAAACTTACAAATTTGAAGAACAACATGCGGAAGTTGTTTTTAAAACCATAAAAAAATCATTTAGTTAAGTTGGCATGGAATTTTAAAAAGTATTTTCTTGCTGAGGACAACTTGATAGCAAGTTACAAGTGGGTTAGGGATTCATTTCACAATACTTCAGAAGGGCTCTCAACTGCCGAAGAAGAAATCTTCATAGATTTCACATCCAGTGGCATAGTTAAAAGGCAATTTTGAAATAAATAGCCCTTTGAATTTTGGGCAGAGGTGGATGATGAATTTTCTGCACTGAAAACAAAAGCATTTCGTATACTATTATCATTTTCAACATCCAACCTTTGTGAAACCGGTTTTTCTGCTGTGGCTGTTTTTAAGACAAAATATAAATCTCAGCTAAATATAGAAAAAGAACTCAGAGTGTCAATTTCTAACACTAAGCCTTCCTTTGAAAAACTTTGCTCTGCAAGACAAGCCCATGGAAGTCACTAATAATTATTAAACTTGTTCTTATACTAGCTGAAGTACCCACTCTTCACACGAGCTTAATTTTTTTTTTAAAAAAAATAATTCTGGATATAATAGATTAATTGTAAGGAGAGTAAAACCAAAGCATGACAATGTATACAAAAATGTAAAATGATTTTTTGAAATGAATGCTCATATTATAAATAGTTTTGAACAAACTGTAATTTTAAGCCTCACAGAATTAGCATTTAGAATTAATGTTAAATAATGAAAAGGAATGTAAAATTCCAATAAAGAATAATTGTGTTATTTTTAATATTTAAAGCGAGAAAACTTCAAAATGTTTTAGCCCGGGATCAAGTGTGCACTCGATACTAATGTTAATGTTCCCGCGGAGCGACTCACTCCAATCCTTTTTTTTTATAATTATTTTTACTATATACAATAAAAATAACAATTTCAGTGAATAATTTAACTAAGAGAAAATATACTTAGCTACTTCAAGGGCTTTTCAATTTGTCTTCGAAAATTTGAGAAGAAATCCAGTAAAACTGAACTAAATTATTTCAGATGTGCGTGACTTTAATAAAGGACACAAATCACAGACACTTTTCGCTAACATTCAATTCAGTGTGTTCAATATAAAAATATGGATATTAGTTCTAAAAGAGAATTGTGTTCAACGTTTTTCATTATGCATATGTTTCAGAATACTCATAAAAATAAATCTTGGCCAAATAATTCTTTTAAGTGCTCAATATGCTTATCCATATATCATAAAACTCTTTCACATGGAAAAAGGCGAAACAGAAATGTATTTACAACTTCCCTAAAAAAAAGGGGATGAAGATAACCATAACAGTAAGTTCGAAGGTCAGCTAAAGTAATATTTTAGGTTAAAAGAAACGTAATAAAAAAATCTCTCATCGTGGGATTACAGCAAGGCAAACAAAATATTTTTTTAATTTGGTTATAGGATCAAAGATAGCTAATGAGCGTTTGAAATAGATTCTTTTATTTTTGATGACGTAATTTTGCCAGATTATATATATAAATCATATCAGTGTAAATCAGTATTTTTTTATTATGTCAGAAAGCATTTTGTTATGCTTAATTCCAGTAAATTAATTCTTTTAACCTTTTATTTTCGATATGCTCACGCCCCCCTAGGGGGCGCGTCCCACAGTTTGAGAAACAATGACGTATACGAAAACGCTTTGTCTAGAAATATACAGAACGGGACAGATCATTGCCGCCTTCGAAATTCTCAAAAAATTTATTTCTCTCCACTTCCCAGAAAATGGGGGCACCCGGGTTTGAACCGGGAACCTCCCGATCTGCAGTCGAATGCTCTACCACTGAGTTATACACCCCGTGTCAGAGAACCTTTGCTTTGCATTCCATAGGAACGGATACGAAAATGCTTTGTCTAGAAATATACAGAATGGGACAAATCATTCCCGCCTTCAAAATCCTCAAAAAAAAAATTTCTCTTCACTTCCCTGAAGAAGACCCGAGTTTGAACCGGGGACCATTCGATCTGCAATCGAATGCTCTACCACTAATCTTTACCCCCGCGTCTGATAGATTTTGCTTTGCGTTCCGTAGGAACGGATACGAAAATGCTTTTATTAGAAATATGTACAACGGGACGGATCATTCCCGCCTTCGACCAACTCCCCACATTATTGGTTCTATTGTCCCTGTGCGGAGGTGTTTAAATTTGTTTAAATTGTGATTATCTCAGGTTTGGCTGGTCCGATTGACTGAAGGTTAGTATGGTTCAACTTTGCTCGTGACCGCCTTTCGTCCTTGGCCCAGCTTGCCCTGCAAAAGATTTTTAGAAAGATTTTAATCTTGTTACGCCAAAGAAGTATAACTTCTTACGTGCGTACATAAGTACACACACACACACACACACTTTTTTTATTACGTTTTTTTTAAACCTAAAATACTTCTCTTTCAGAGAAAAAAAACAAAACCCAGACCCAGAATCGAAAAAATTTAGGAAGATAAAAAATTCATCACTGGTACTCTTTTTGAAATACTAGCTGTAGGCAGCAGAATATATACACTCACTTCCAAATTTAAGCACGGAGAGGAAAATACTAATTTCCGGAAGCCAATCAGAATTGAAGAGGATGCAATTCGCTGCACAGGTAGATGGAGGTATGCAAATATGTTAGGTAACACAGTCAATCGTTCCTTCATGTCAAGAAATATTCAAAAAGGGCAGTCTTATAAGTAGCCAGCTTTTTGAAGGGTTACAGAAGTTGATTGTAAGTGCTGATGGAAGGTGTTTAAAACTTTCGTACAATTTGTTTTCAAGACGTACGTGTTTCTATGACTTCCAGAAGACGAATGGAAGATTCTGAGCGCTGGCGTGCTGTGGGGCGCATTGAAGCAGGACAGTCGATCACAGAAGTTGCTCTTTTCTTCAGCGTTCATCATTCTGTAATTTCACGTTTATGGAAACAATTCCAAACCACACAGACAGTTATCTGAAGGCCCGTAGGTGGTCGCCCAAGGGTTACAACCACCACGGAAGATCAATATATTGCTATTGTAGCCAAGCTGAATCGCAAAGCAACCTCCACACGTGTGACATCTATAGTTACAGCGTCCATTGGTAAGGCTATATCTGCAGCTACTGTACGCCGAAGATTACATATGGATGGACTGTATGCCCGGGTACCTCGAGTTTGTGTTCCTCTATCCGTCCAATCAAGAGGGGCACGATTAAAGTGGTGCCGGGAACATGGCAATTGGATTGTGTCTGACTGGGACAATGTCATGTTTACTGATGAGTCAAGATTTGCTCTCTAGCCAGATGACAAGCGTATAAGGATATGGCGTAAACAAGGAACACGCAATCAGCCCAAAAAAACAAAAAAAAATCACCGAACATCACACATTCCGAGGCGGAAGCATTATGATGGGGGCAGGTATTTCATTAGGATACCGCACCGAGCTGCACATCTTTAAACGGGGTTCTGTGACGGCTGTCCGGTATCGAGATGTAGTCCTAGAACCCATTGTGAGATTGTACGCTTCAGCAGTTGGCCTTACTTTTGTTTTAATGGGCGATAACGCACGTCCCCATAGAGCTGACATCGTCGATGACTACCTGGAGAGTGAAGGGATTGCGCGTATGGCGTGGCCAGCATATTCGCCCGACCTTAATCCCATTGAAAATCTTTGGGATGCTCTCGGCCGTGCTGTATCTTCACGTTTCCCACCTCCAGCCACTCTTATTGAGCTGGAAGCTGCTCTACAAGAAGAATGGAGATTGTTTAATTCTGCGGTGGTTGACCACCTAATTGAAAGCATGGTCAGAAGATGTAAACTTTGCATACAGTTGAGTGGAGATCACATACCCTATTAATGTCCTTTTTTTTTCATTTTATGCTGTTTATTTTCATTTTATGCATAATTCTGTTTAAGTCTCCAGTATGACATTATCTGATAACTTCAAAAATTTAATATCACTTTCATTTCTGTATATAATTATTGATTTTGTTTTATGTATAAATATATATGCTACTTTACTGCCAAATTTTGTGTCAATGAAAGCAGTATTTGTTGATTTTCTTGCATTTTACATCTTCGTGCTTAACCTTTGGAAGTGAATGTATATATATTTGCTGAACATCTATTTAACCTTCTAAGTTATTGGTACAGTTAGTTATGACTCCTCTCTTATATGTGTTTGTTTCTCATTTAGGGAAGTTGTAAATAATGCATTTCTTTGGGAGGGGGCGTCCATGTAAAAGAGTTTTATGATATTTGGAAAACCACAGAGAGCATTTTGAAGGAATATGGCCAAAATTTATCTTTATGTGTACTCTCAAACATATAAAGCATAATGAAAAACGTTTTACACAATTTTCTTAGCAGTAACATCCACAAATTATATTGAATACACTTTTTAAGTGGTTGCGCGGGGCATACAGATCACGAAATCGTTAATTCTGGCAAAACTGTTGATTTGTTACCAAAGAAAAATTGAAAAGTCCTTGAAAGTAGGTAAGTTTACTTTCTCTTAATTAAATTATTCACTAAAATCACTATTTGTATCGTGTACAATAAAAATAATTATATTAAAAAAAAGGATTGGGGTGACTCAACCACCCCGCGAGACCATTAACGTTAGTATCGAGTGTGTGCCTGCTTCCAGGATAAAACATTTTTAAATCTTCTCGCTTTAAATATTAAAGGTAACACAATTATTCTTCATCGGGGAATTTTATATTATTTTTCGTTATTTAACATTAATTCTAAATGCTCATTGTGTGAGGCTTAAAATTACATTTCGCTTAAAACTAATTATAATATGAGCATTCATTTTAAAATATCATTTTACATTTTCGTAAACATTGTCGCGCATTTGGGTTTACTCTCCTGACAATTCAGCTATTATATCAAGAATGTTTTAGTTTTTTTTAAAAAAATGAACTCGTGCGAAGAGCGGGTACTTCAGACCTTACCGGGTACACTTTTAATGTATTAATGCTACACAAGGTATTTTATAACTAACTTATTAATACTAAACTATGAGCGTTTAATAAGTATTAGCGACTTCCATGGGCTTGTCTTACAGAGGAAAGTTTTTCAAAGGAAGGTTTACGATTCGAAATTGACACTCTGAGTACTTTTTCTATATTTGGCTGAGATCTATATTTTGTCTTCAAAGCAGCCACCGCATTTTTCAATTGTTCCAATTTAAAAATTCGAGAAAGAAAAATAAAATATATATTACTTAAAAGTAATTTAAATAAAATTTAATATACTTATCTTATTAATTTGTACAGTTTATAAAATTAAGATCATATTGTAGCTTTAGCGTCAAAGTGCATTATTATTGCCTTCAATACATTATTATTGTATAGGGGGGGAGGGCGCGATAAAAATTATGATTGAAAAGTGGGTCGTCAGTATTGAAAGTTTGAGAAGCACTGGCCTATATAAATAAAAATGTAATGTATGTTTGTTCAAAGCCGCAAATCTCCGAAAGTACTTTACCATTTCAAGTGAAATTTTGACATGACGTTGCATTTGAATCCGGACGGGTTTTTATGTGCAGTTATTTCGTAACTCTCTAAATATTTTAAAATTTAACTTTTAAGTGATTTTTCGGTGTTATGACGTCATATAATGCCACGTTTCTATCTGAATACAAAAATTTATACCTTACCCGCAATTTTATTTGAATTTTTACATATTTTTACTATAGTTATGTTTATTGATTACCATATTTATCCACTTTTTTGTTCTTTGATATGTAATTAGGATTATTTTTCTAATAAGTCAATTTTTTAAAAATTATTCTTTCAACTCAAATTTGGTTGTGAAGTTTTGGCAACAATCGGATAGCAATATCGCAGGATGCTTACGATTTTACTTATATTTTACATAGTGTTTTTTTCTGTAATTTTAAGCTAAATTTATTTATCTTTATTAAGCGAAGATGAAAATTATAATTGACTTCTCCGTACGCTACTTATTTCTCTGCCAAATAATTTCCGTTAATCATTTATCTCAAATAAAATACGTCACCAAATGCCGCGATATGCATTCAATGTTTGGAAACAATATATTTTTTTTCCACGGCGATATTTTAATCAGGCGAAATTAATCGACAGGTTTTTTAATAAGAATATTTTTTTTCTCTGTTTTAGACAATTTTTTAAAATTTCATTTGATATTTACGTATTATCGCAACAATCACCAACTTTCAAGATAACTCGACAAGTTGGCAATCCCATTTTCGCAGATGTTGTTCGTGCTGTTTTATCTCAATAATGGCAATCATAAACTTCGTTTTATGCAATGTCGCCAATAGGTTGTGATAATGCGTAAGTACCTTTCATTTGTTGTTACTATTGAAATACAAATGGCAAAATTAATATTTTCAGATATACTTTTTGAGTCATCAAAATATTGCCCCTTATTTTGTTTTTTTGATTGCTTTATAAGATTTTAGTTTATGTAAAAAAAAAAAAGAATTAAAACAGATTCCATTAGTAATTTGTTAAAAAAACACTTGAAGTTATTATGGTTTGCTTTTGTCGGGGACATTGCTACCGCTGTATCAATGATGCAGGGGCCCAACAGTGTTACTACAGTCCCACTAACATGGTGCTTATATCTGAAAAAGGGTCCCAAAGGAATTTGGATACAAGGCCCACTCAGAGCTGCTTTGTAATTTCATATGTTTTTGTTTTAACCTTCTTTTTAACTGCAGTCAATCGGCTTCAGTACATAAAATTGCATTACAGAAACTCGGTCATTGTACTGGCCAAGCAAATGCAGTGCGAGGAGTAGTTGCTCATCAAATTGGAATAGGCATCAGTGAACGAGCAAAAGAGACAGATGGCTCAAATACGTGTTGAGGAAGCAGGTGGTCGTAAGATTGTAATTATTTTTTCAAATTATACTTTTGTATTCATAAAGATAGTTCAGTTCTTTTTATGTCAATTAACGTTAGTATTATATATAATTTTTCAATTTATTTTTAAGCTCAGGATATATACTTTGGATAATTTTTATATATAAAATACTAATTTTAATTCTGTA